TCCAAGATGAAAGGAAGAAAAGTTGGCGTGGAGTCTGCGGCTCGTCTCGATCGTGCCCCCCCATCCCCCCCCCCCCCCTTTCCCCAGCTACAAACTTTCCCATTATGAGGCAGGGTGGCAGGTACGACGGCGAAGGGCAATACGAAGAGCAATATTGCCCTTCGATTCAGCGTCTCGCACTTCTGCCGGTGGTGATTCTAAAATTCCTGGCGGTTGAACAAACGTTTGGATGGAGCTGGGCGCGAATTGAGTATCAAGTACTTAGATACCAATCTCCAGGTACTTTCGGGGAAGTACCTGAACAAATTGGACATGCTACCACTAGCTTCAGTTCATGAGTTCATATTTTACTGGTAACAAATGTTGCATAAGTATTATAAAACGCTGAGAAATGATCCGAAGTTTCATTTCGGAGAGGCAAGTACTAGATCTGTACCAACAGTACCGAGGAGCACTGAGGAGTACTGAGGGAAGTAAGGAATCGATTATATCCCTCACAAAGGATATTAATAACCGAAAAATCAAATGATTCCCTGGAGACGAAGTACCGATAGATTTCCCTCACCGGCGGCACCTCGGTTGGCTCCCGAGTACCCAGCAGCCACACGAATGGTCCCGACAAACACCTGCAGGGGAACCAGGCGAACATTCACGCACCAAAACGGGTGACCCCGGCCCTCCCACGCCCTCGAGCTCTTTCCATCAGAGGAAAGAGATCGAGGGCGTGAGAGGACCCGGACATCCTCCTTCGCGCTTGGGTGTGCTGACGCTGCAGCGATGAACTCGAGACATTCGGTCAGGCCTCTTCTTTCCGTCCCTATCACGTGATCCGAGTAGATGCTCCATTCATGATTTACAGGAGGTTCATGATTGAAGGTGGATGATCGATTGGTGAATGATGATCGATTGATGATCGATGATGGAAGATGCATGATGAAGCTTGGCGTATACTTAGGCCCCCGTGGAACATGAGCCTGGCGGCGGCAGCGTTCACGGCGCAGAGGCTGATGCAGTCGCAGAATCCTCACATGCCGGGCATGCAGAATCCTCAGCATCCGACGAATCACGACGAGGAGAACGAGGACTCCAAGGTCCATCAAGGTCGGTCCGGTCCGATGGAGTCGGTCCAAACATTTTTGCATTCCGCGAATGCCAAAACGATGCGGATAAGTTTTCCGTTCGCAACAAAAAAATTGCGGGAATCGTTTCAAAATCCGTTGCGCGATCAGAAAGGAAATTCTTATTCCCGAATTATTCGGCTCCTCCTCAGAGTTTCTTCAAAAATAAATCTAAGACGGCTAGTTGATCGATGAACTTCTGAAGCGCTGAAAGGAATTCTGGATACCCAGTGAAACTGACTAGCGTAATTAATATAAGTTTTTCCTTCTTTAAGTAGCACAAGTAAAAAGTACATGACAGATTCTAACAATAACAAGTAAATTATATATATATATATGACTAAAAAATAATTGGTAAATTTTTCTCGCTGAAAATAAAATTTTTCGCCAAAACGGCGGACCCCTGACCACGACCCATTAGGCTTGCCTGCCGATCCCACAGGGGAAGAAGTGGACGTGGTCGGAGACGACAAGGTCATCCACGACAAGGTCATGCACGAAAAGGTCATGCACGACAAGGTCATCCACGGCGTGATGTACGGGCAGGAGACGATCTACGAGACGGCCGCGAGGCTCCTCTTCATGGCGGTCAAGTGGGCGAAGAATCTTCCGTCGTTCCTCAGCCTCCCCTTTCGGGATCAGGTATTGAGATGTTTTTTTTTGCTGTTTCGGTATATTTTGTTATTTTTTTGTGATCCGGGACAGTTTTACCATTTACCGTGAGAAGGATCCGATATTTGTCATTTAATTCGTGATGGCGGGAACATGGCGTTTCCTTCGAAGGAAAAGCATTCATTAGCGTTTTCTGCGGAATAAGCCGATTTCAGCTTAGAAACAGGAAAGCACGGTTAAATAACAGAAAGATAGAAATAATAGGAAAAAATAAAAGTAAAAATTGTTTCAAATTTTTTTAATTAGGAATTTTATTAAATACTCTGAAGGATTCGAGACGACGTACGAAGGTGGCTCAACGCTTGCGTTCTGCAGAGGTTTAAAAACGAATTCGAGCTGCCTGTTGCGCTTCGTGCCCTGTTTGCATCATAGATATGATAATATCTATGATGCAAACAGGGCAATTGGCATGAAGCCGATGGAGCGCTTGTTAAGGCAGAGGCAAATATTTTCCCAGAAACCTTGGAATTTCCTCACAAATATTTATTGGATTTTGCCTCTGGAATCGGGGCAGTCCTGACAACCCCTGACATCTGTCGGGAATAGCTCAAACTGCAAGCGGGAGGCATTTCAAAATATTCGGCGATAGAAAATTTGGCAAAAAAGCCTCCGCCGATTTTTCTTATAATGGGTTTCGCAGAACCGCTCGAAATCTCGAAGTCGGTTCTCCCCAAGAAAGCGGATTTCCGCAAGAAAATTTCACGTTTGATTTCGACGGAGAAAGACGTTGAACCGGCCGAAGAGGAAAACTTGCAGCAATTGTTGGTACGAAATTGATTGAAATCGAGACCCATCGTCTCTGCTCGCACGCCTGCAGTTGCATTTTCATCGTCGGTGCGTGTCGGCGTGCAGCCACCCTGCAACGCGGCGAAGGAAATGAAAAATTCGCCACTCCTGCTTCCATCGCAATAAATGTAGCAATTTTTTTGCAAATTTTTAGCACACGTGCGTATGCTAAAAGGAACACCGATGTCGTCCTTCCTCGTTTTACGATGTCCGCCTTCGGCTTCATGTCGCATCCCCGTCGGCAATTTTTCCTCAGGCCAAGTATAACTTATCTCAGCTGTGCCGAGGTTGGACGACGTCCATGAGCCCACACACACGTACACATGGCACGAGTGGCATTTGCACCTCAACGTCCTGGTTTTCTGTGGCACCGAGTCGAGTACATCTGTGTACCGAATGTGGTTCATCCTCGAAAAGCAGAGCCGAGATTGCGTGCGCATTCATATAAATGCGCCGCTCCAAGTAAATTATGTCCCCTTTTCTGCGGCAACTCGTAACCCCAAATGATGGAGACATGTCTATCTGCAGCACTAGTACTGCCGGTACTAACTAATAACTCTTGCCTGTGTACCTGTGTACACGTTGGTACCATGGATAGGCAGAGTACATGAGTTGATTTTCCCAGAGAATCCTCATTACAGGCTCGTTTCAGGAGAGAGTTTATCCCATTGTTTTCTATGAAGTATCCATGAATTCAATCCCTAATCTCCACATTTAGTCTTACGAACGAGGAATCGTTGGACTGAACCCGTGGACATACTCAAGGCTTTTGGAAACCTTTCCGATAATATTGCCCTTTCTAGGTTAAGGGTTCTCATATGGAGTAAGAGCTTGTTATGGGCTGGGCTCCATGAATCTGTCTCTAATATGAGGATAACAAATGATTAAGTGTCCGTGTTCATTGATTCCTATAATGAGACTAGGCGAGACATACGGCGAGGTACTAAACACTGTTGTGAGGGACGATTTCAGGGAGAGGAGGGGTACTTTTGTGTACTGTGAGAAAAAGCGAGACCCCCACCGCCATCTAGTGGCATGCAGGATAACTTCAGCATTTCCCGAAAACTTTCAAGAGCTACTTGGGCACATTGGATCGTCGCGTCGTTCCGATAATAGATCGATGATGGAATGGCAATACTGGGGAGACATTGAGACTGCGAATTTTCAGCCGATATTGGAGAAGATTGGTAATTGTGTCAAAATGATACGTACGGTGGGTTTACTCTTCGAAGCTTTGGCGGAAGTTTTCTCTCATTTTTGGTCGGATTGCACTGACAGAGTGTGAAACATCCACGTCCGCCAAGCGGACGGGACTGAGTTAAGCACTGGGCCAAATGTGCAAAACCTTCCTCAGCCACAGATATTCTAACCACTAAGGACCCACAGATACGCCACAGCTACCGCAGATATGCCGATCTTTGGTCACAGAATCCGCCGACTGAGATTCTTCACATTTATTCGGAAAAACTTCAAAAACTTTTCAAAGGAAAAACTTTGAATGGTAATTTTTCATTCAAATGTTTCGCCTTCGATCGAGCCACGATCGTTTCATTTAACCCCGATTCCGAAACCATAACCGCGCTGTAACCGTTTTACAACCCTCTCCAAGGTGATTCTACTGGAAGAAACGTGGTGCGACCTGTTCCTCCTGTGCGCCATCCAGTGGAGCCAGCCGCTCGAGTCCAGCCCGCTCTTCTCCGTCGCGGATCACACGAGCGGGGTCCCCGTGGGGAAGGTCTCCGCTCAGGTTGTGGCCGACCTGCGATTGCTCCACGGGCTCATGCTTAAGTTCAGGCGGCTGGCTGCCGACCCGGCCGAGTTCGCCTGTCTCAAGGCCATCGCTCTCTTCAGACCAGGTACGACGATTCGTTTTTAGAAGACCTGGAATGTGGCGACGATAAATGAAAGCACGATTCATCGCTAAATAAAATCAAAGTGTATGGTGTGTTTTGTCGAAGGAAACCAAATCGATTGAGTTAGCGCAATGTCGTATGGCCCTGAAGTACCTAGAAAAAAAAGATATTCCTGTGTGCAATGCAGGAATATTTTTGCCCATACTATTACTTCCCTTGCTACTGCACGAATCTAACCGAAAGTGTGACATGACATAGAAAGCTGAATTATTCCCGTCGGAAGAACGTGTCCCGTTCCGAACGACTCGTCATAAATTTTCGCATCGACTTTACTCAATAATTAAGCATCACTACAATCACAGTGTACAGTATGAAAAATAATCACGATTGGACGAAAAGCCGACGAGTCCACCCACAATCGACGATACGCTGATTCTATGGATTCGCTTTTCAGAGACTCGGAGCCTGAAGGACGCCCAGCAGGTGGAGAACCTGCAGGACCAAGCCCAAGTCGTGTTGGGTCAGCACTGCCGGACGCAGCACCCGGCGCTGCCGGCCCGATACGGCCGCTTCCTCCTTCTGTTGCCCAGTCTCAGACTCGTCCCCAATGCAAGGCTGGAGAGGCTTTTCTTCGCGAGGACCATCGGAGACACTCCGATGGAGAAGGTTCTGTGCGATATGTTCAAGGGGTAGGGGAGGTTGGGAGGGAGGCTTCGTCTCGGTGTGCGTTTTCTCCTCTTGTTTTGCTTTCGTGTCGGGTTCGTCGTTTGTGCGTTCCGTGTGTCGTAGGGGCTTGACGGAATGGAAGAAAGTGGATGTTGGGTTTGTCGTCTGTCATTTCGCGTCAGTTGGCCAGTCCCACGAGGTACTCGGAGCGTTCCCACAGTTTCTTGGCCACGGCGGGGTCCTTCGCCCTGCTCGACATCCACGCCTCCTGCGACAGCGATTTCCGTCATTTGAACTGGAGTCAAAGGCTTACCGAATGAAGGTTTCACAGTATGGCACATGCGAAAAAAAGCATCTACGACCACGGAAAATTTGCACTTCGTCGTATGTGTGTCTGGTAGCGCTCTAGCATCCAAACTGCTGAATATAGAGCTCTGAAAATGTTCGCATCGATTCCTTAGCATCCGAGGAGTTACCCTTCTCATGGGACAAAACCTGCTCCTAAGTAACGTTTCCCTTATTTTCGCGAAAAACTCAATTTGGAAATGGAAAGCAAAAGTTGCCTATCGCGTCTTCAGACCTCATGAGTTTCAATTGATGGATATCAATTAGTAAAATAAAAAGTTTATAGGCTTGGTCCAATCAGAGCATGACGTCAAGAGCATTTGAGGTAAACTATAAGTTTATGAAATGAATGAGCTGCAGCCCTGCCATCTTGCATTTACTCGAACAAACAAGGCTTCCACAAGAGAAGAGTGATGACGAATAAATCGCCATCCTTGAGATTCATCCCCAGCGAGTGCTAGATCTTATTGCATGAGTTTCGTGAAGGTAAAAAGTGCTCTCCTCCCCTGATGGTTTTTCGCAAAAATTATAATTAAACAAAGTTACCCTTTGGAAAATGAAAATAATAGTAGAGTTTGGAAATCTTAATCTCCCTGGTATGTTTTTCGGATTTATCTGGGATTTTATTGATACTAAGAGAAGATGAGATGCGAACTTGTGTGAATGTTTGCATGAGTAAAATATAGTACATAATTTGAAATCTTATCTCTTTTACTGCGGTTGGCCCAGACTTTGTCTGCATCTAGTTAATGATGGAGCAGAAGAGGAAAAAAAGAAATGGAGAAGACGAAGAAGAAGCAACTGAAGAGGTAAACTGGAGTGCCAGGGATCACTGCCCACTACATTTCAGGAATCATTTCATTTCACCGCATACTAACTATCCAACTTTAAAAATAAATATTGCCATTCGTACGTCGTAGGCCCAAGTGAATGGTCTCGGACAGCTCGACATGTTCTCGGTAGTTCGCACGTTCACGCCTCGTGGAGAAGGGAGGAGAGTACGCATAGGATGCCAGATGCGGCATTTCACTAGTACGTCCGGCAACCCTGTCTACGCTACCAACAGCAGCCGTTCTCTCCCCTTGTCAAGTATGGATCCGTCATCCGCGAGGGCGGGAAGAGAACTGGAACTTTCGGTGGTTGACTGACAATCCGACCCAGGCGGAAAGCTACACATGCGCACTGAATGGAGTAGTCAGGTTGCTATGGAGACTGCGGATGGACAGATAAATAAAGAACGTGGTAGGCTAGGGCTCGGCCTATCGCAATCAAGACTGCCATTTTCCCATATTTGCTATGGGAATGGCAGACAATTATGTACTATTGTAAGTCAATGATACACTTCTACTCAGAGAGGAATTTAGGTCCCTTGGATCGTCAACTTCTTCCTCAGGGAGCTTTCCCGTGAAGGTAAAGGAAGGCCAAGTTTCCCTATCGCTTCTCAAAACGAAAATTATTGGCGATAAATTTGCAACTCTCCTGATGGAGATTGATTCCTCTGCGAGGAGCCCATATCTATTATAGAATGGACTACAGAATTGTCGAACCAGTCTGACGTGCAGGCGTGAATACACTCGAGAATTTACTGGAAATTTAAGAAAATCTCTGAATCGTTTCGTGCTATGCTACCAGTATTACACCCAAGAGGCAAGCGAATAAAAATACCGTCGAAACTTAGATCGGAAAAATGAGTGGCAGAAACTCACGCGACACTCGATGAAGTATTTCCCGGAGACATTTTCCAGCTTCTCGCTCAGGCACAAGTGGACAGTCGTCTGTGCGCCTTCCACCGAGCTCTGAAAGAAACAACCACCGTAACCGTCGGACTGCGACTGCACGCTCTGAAGGGGGAACGGAAGAGGCAGACCTTCAGAAAGAAGCGGCCGACCCAGAAGAGAGGGTCGAAGTTCACGACGTTGCGGGCCACTTTGGTCACTGTTCCTCCCGGATGGCAGCAGTTGGCTGTCACTCCTGGCGGGCGTCGAGAGGAGAAACGAAAGGAATTGCTTTTTTTTGAGGAACTTTATAGCAGGACGGTTAACATGATTTGTTACAAATAATGTAGATGTATGATGAAAGTAACAATTTATATTAAAGGTCTTATCAAAAAGAAAAGGCTGAATGGGGGATATAATATCTTTGCTGGACTGACCTGTTCCTTTGAGTCTTCGGCTGAGCTCCATGGTGAAGAGGGCGTTGGCCAACTTAGTGTCGCCGTAAATACGGTATCGATGGTATTTCCTCTCCGAATTGAGGTTGTCGAATTCGATCTTCCCGAACAAGTGGGCGAGAGACGACACGTTGACGATTCGACTCGGCTGCGATTTTTTCAGCAGTTCTGTACGGCAAAAATAAAACGGATTGCTGAGTCGGTTCGAGGATGGGGAATTTTAATGAAAAAAAGTAGTAAAATTACCGAGTAGGAGATGAGTGAGGAGAAAATGGCCGAAGTGATTGACAGCCATGTGCTGTTCGAGGCCGTCGCCGGTGAGGACCCTCTCGTCGCGCGGGATGGCCACGGCGGCGTTGTTGATCAGCAGGTGCAGGTGCTTCTCCGTCCTCAGGATCGTCTCCGCACAGGTCCTCACGGACTCCAGGCTCGAGAGGTCGCAGTGCAGGGCGAACACTTCCGAGTTTCCAGTCTCTCTCTTGATCTCCTCTATTTCAAAAGCAAAACCGACAAACGGTGGAGAATAACTCAATGAAACTGGCCCCCTACACTCGAATACGGTCGAACGGTCTGTACAGTTAGTATGGCAATTATGAGAAGCGTAAGGAGTCGTTTTAGTACCTGCCACTTTTCTTCCCGAGCAGAAGTCCTGGCAGGCGATGAGAACTCGAGCGCCTCTTCGAGCCAACTCCGCCACCGTCGCTTTCCCAATACCTGCAAAGAAATGGAAGAGGAAACATCAGGGATTGAGTTCGTACACGATGGGCAATAGCGGTCAATAGCGGTTCTTGAGAGGCCTTGCACACGTCATCTTATCAGTGATGGTAATTATTATAATCGCTCAGAAATTATGGTTCATTACACTAATTGTGTCACATATTGGACAATTATTGCAACAGTCTCACAGTGGACAGGCAAAAAGGTGGAGGGTAATGTTGAAGTTAGGGACATGGCAGTAAGCAACTAGGATACGCTAAAAAAAATCCCAAAAATGAAAAAAAAAGCTTTAAGAAGATTAGGCCTAGCCTAAAATTACGGAACGCTCGACCTCGACACGTGATATCGAAATGGGTGTAATCGCCTCTTGATATCTACTAACTACCTTGATACCTTGAACAGTCTCAAAAATAATTTGCAAAGAAATTGACGTTTGTGAAGAATGTGGGTGGTGACTGGCTCGTTCTTGTGTAATAGCTGGGAGGAGGATGGGTCGTTCGGGGGTGGAGGGTGAGTCGTTCGGGAATGGAGGGTGGGTCGTTCACGAAGAGACTCGTTCATGCTACACAAAGCATCCATTTGTAAATGTAAATCCTCGTAGTGACTGACGAATGACATGCCCCTCTCTTTGATTGCATTTCCAGCTCAGAAAGGAATTCCACTCTCATCTCCTCGAAAGGATCAATTCTCCTCACGATTCCATGTCATTTGACTCGTCCATTCCGCCTAGCTCAATGTTTATTTTTTTAAAGTGATTTTTGCTGGAATTTTGCGTCGATTTCATTTGCAAAAAAATCACTTCAAGAACAACTTTTATGTACCGATCAATACTCTGCGCTGAGATATTTATATTTAAAAAATATTATTATCAAATGATGGAAAAACGTATTTCTGTCAAACCGAGCCGACGACAACCTAAAATTTTTCTTCAAGTTGCTTCAAAAAAGTAATTATTCTATATCGATTAAAAATTTCGCCCAGAGAGGAAAATGCAGAGAAGGTTTTCTCTAAAATCAATTAAATTCCATAGATTATCCTTGAAGTTATCCTTATTCTCATGATCCAAAAACTTTAGTTAAAGGAAAATCAAGGAGAGTTGAGGCTTCAGCCCGATATTTATTATATTATTAAAATATCTTACTGTGTCTTTGTTATTAATTCATCAAGTCATGATATAATGAAGGTATTTTACTGCTACGTATGTCACCGTTACTCCTTTTCAAGTTCCGTGACTTGTCGGTTCTCGAAAGATCCTGCTATGACGTCTCGGAAGACCCTGCTTTGAAGTCTCAGGAGATCCGGTTATGACGTCTCAGACTGGAAGGGGATCGTTTCTCGTGCATCCCTCTTTTTACACCAGTCATTCTCATTCGTCCTCAGCTAGCCATAGTTACCGTCTGCTTATCTCGCGATCTGGCAGATGGGGTGACAGTAATTACTGTTTCCGAGCGTGACAAATGAGGATATTTTGCACAATGTCTATTGCATCGCTTTGTAACAAGCAAACTATAAAAGAGATACAGTGCCAGTGAGTAAAACGGGGATTTGCGACATGGGAATTTCCGGTTAGCACGACCGATAACAACCTGAACCTTTGGTGAAAGAGCCTCAACCGCTGGGTCAAATGACCGTCACCGGCTGGAAGGAGTCTTAGCCTGTTTGCACCGACCCAAACGGTTTTCTGGGTCGATCTCGACACTTGTGTTCCTGAAATAGGAAGACTCAGAATACCGGAATGAAAAAACCCCAGGGAATTTTTTCCCCCCATAAATTCATCATCTAGTGATGGCCCTGGTTCGTAAATGATGTAAATGGAGTGTTAAATTACGTAATTGCAATTTAACCCTTACCTCACACGATAGATGCATTAAGTTGGATTCTTTGCACGATAATCAACAATGGAGCGTTCATCCTGGAGCGTTAATGAAGCGTTCATCCTGACTTTTCCTATCTGTGATTGGCACCAAATCCATAAAATAGAGAATTTGAATTTTTGAAGCGTCAGATTCTGGCATCTGATTAGCTCTTTGGTTCATGAAGGCAAAAAAAAGGCTGGGTCATGTACCCGATGGCTCAGACCTCATTTGAACGAGATGAAAGGGTTCTTCAACCTAAAGGACTATTTCCCCCCATTAGAGTCTATGGATTTTTAAAGGACAAAAGGAGGTTAAAAGGACTAAAGGAAGCCTTAGGTAAGCACATTCTGTGTTTACCTAAAGAGTCCCTCCCTTTCGCCCTTCCACAAGAAATTCTTCAGTCGTTTCTCACCGTCTCATGCAATGACATGCGTGTAGAGGCACGTGAGAAAAAAAAAATTGGTTTTATGGCGACGCGAAACTGGATGAGAATTGGTCGTGTCAACCCTCTTAATTGTGTCTTCAGCGTTGGGGAACATTTCTTAAACCGTCTGGTTTTCTTCGAGCGACCGACTCTGTGTCTCTGCGAGGTCGAAATTCCAGTACCTCGAGCCGAAAACTCAAAGCAGTAAAGTTTTAAATGAAAAAAGGAAAATTACAATAATCAGTACTTTACAAAGTCGACTTGTACACCATTGTTAACCCCTTGACCACGGGATTGACTGAGCCAGCCCAGCATCCAACGGTATTATTTCAGCATCAGCCAGGCGCTAAGTCCCACGACGTAAATATTCGTCATCCGTAGGAAAGGGTATGTGCTTGCAGAATAATATCAAAGAACTAATTTCCTCTGTGATTGATAGAAAAGGCTCTCGGGAGGAAGGACTTAAAATTCCCACAATAACATCTACTGCCATTGATCCAGCATAAAAAATAATGAGGAGTTCCATAAAAACTTAAGTGAACTAGAGTACCAGCCCAGGTACAGATATGCTATTCCACTCCCCCTATACCACTGGACTTACCTTCTTCGCCGCATCCTAACCATCCAACATTGAAATAAACAATAACTGTCATTGGTACGGCATAGGCATATATAAACAGTCCTAGACAACTAGACGTGTTTTCGATGGTCCGTACGTCTGCGTCGTGTGGAGATGGGAGGAGAGTATGATATGTAGGATGCCAAAGCGGCATTTCACGCATACGCCTAGCAACCCTGTCTACGAGGCAGGGAGCAGCCTCTCTCTCCCATCGTCTACTATGGATCCGTCATCCGCAAGGGCTGGAAGGGAAGTGGATGTTTTAGTCGTAGACTAGCACCCCGACCCAGGCGGAAAGCTGCACACGCGCAATGAGTCATTTGTGTCCGGTTGCTATGGAGACTGCGGACAGACGAAATGAAAAACTAGAGAGTACCAGCCCAGGTACAGATCTGGCATTCCACTGGCCCCTGTACCACTTGATTTATTATATATATTTATCGTATCCTAACCATCTAACCTTGAAAATAAATCATAGTTGTCTTTGGTTCGGCGTAGGTCCATATGAAAAGGCCTGAAAACTAGACATGTTCTCGATGGTCCGCGCGCCCGCATCGCGTGGAGACGGGAGGACGGTATGAAATGTAGGATGTCAGATACGGCATTTCACGCGTGCGCCTAGCAACCATGCCTACGCGGCCGGGAGCAGCTGCTCTCCTCGATTGTCTACTATGGATCCGTCAACCGCCAGGGCTGGAAGGGAAGTGGATATTTTCGTGAAAGACGGGCACCCGGACCCAGGCGGAAAGCTGCGCGTGCGCATTGGGTCGTGTTGTCCGGTTGCTATGGTTACTGCGGACAGATTGAATGAAAAAGAAGAAAAAAAAGTGACAAACCGACCGCAATATCTGGCATTTCCCCATAGTACCTATGGAAATGGCAGATTAAAAAAAAGTTAAGCCCTTTCCCTCTTGGCCACACAAATCAAAAAACGTTGAAGAACCCTTCACCCGACAGGAGAGAGACGAAACCATGCAACGTACCATGTGTCCCCCCCGTGACGAGAGCAGTCTTCCCGTCCAGCCTCCCCCTGCACCGGCATCGACGGGAGGACAACTTCATGTAGAGTTTGATGATGAGGAGGAGGAGGAGGAGGGCGCGCACGACCAGCCACATCATCTTGCTCGTGATCTCACGGAGTTTCTGCCCTGGCTTTTCAACTGGAAAATCACCAATAAAATATGGCATATGTTGCCTAAAATTTGGGCCAGTAGTGGATGTACTTGAATAATTTATGGGCGAGAATTATGATTCACGAAGAAGTTCCGTTTTTTTTATTTAAATAAATTATATTAGTTTAGTAGTAGTTCGTGAAAATTTAAATGTTCTGGGTCCAAGTCCCTTAGATTCTATCCACGAGAGGATAAAAAGAAATTCTAAGTGGAATTCTACGTGAAATTCTAAGTGTTTCACCAGAAAGAGATCGAGAGAACAGTTGAAGATCCCCTCTCGGAGGACGAACTGAGCGCGGCTCGCTCGTCCCCTAAGATATATCGGATGGTGACTCATCATCTGGATGTTCAGAAGGTCAAAATTTGCTTCTTCACCTCACATCATCACATTTATAATTAATTTGTTTGCATTGATTATACGTTGAGAGCGTAATGATTTTGCATTCTGCTAGCATTTGCGTAAATTAATTGCTCTCGAAATCAGTGTCGGCTATTGCTCCATAATTGTATATCCTGCCAGCACTAATGATAATTGACGATATTATAATATAATGAGCGCGATGATGAAGCTCCAATGAGTGCCGCAAGAATGAGTCAGAAGGCGCATGCGCCTCGTGCTCGATTGGTCATCTCCGATATATCCATTTTTTCCTTTGTCGGTTCTTGTGCCCTCGGTTGACCCCAGGCGAGTGCGAGTCTTTCACGACTCGGGCGACACGTCGACCTGTTGACGGGGTTGTTGATTCCTCACTAGATGGAACCCTTGTTCCCTGCATCCTGCAAATACTATTAAGTACTGACTTACAGGCCTCCAATGCCATTGATGATATGAGCAGCCCCTGTGGAGAGTAATCCAGTTCTCCTGATTTTTTTGCTCCTTTGAGAGAAGCACCATCTTCATAGTCCTCATACAGTTCAGATCCGTTGAAGTCAGATCGACACACTTCTTATTGAGGCCGGTAAGCAGCTCATCAGTTTCACAGTTCAACTGACTGACATAAGATTCAGTTGAGCAGAGAAAACCAAACCGATTCTGTAATTCTAGCAACTATTAAAAATCGATTTAAGATTTCAACTCCAATTTTATCCAAAAATTTCCCCAAGGCAACGGCACATTTCTTCCCGAGTGCTCAATCCAGCATCAAATGCACTTTCAACAGCCATGGAGCGTTTTCTTTTACGTCTGTCCACTGAGAAACCCCATTCATTGCACATATCTCCAGGTTCAGAAATGGCTGTAGTACACAGCTCATTTTTCCAGGCTTCAATTTTGTCTATCAAAGTTCCCAGTTGAATCAAAGCTTGATTGAAAGTCAACTTTTTAGCCTGAAGACATTTCTGAATCAGCAGCAAGGGGCACCTTTGACTAGAAACACAGGAGAGCTGCAAATTCGAACTTTCGGACAACAATGAGAATCAGACCAGCATCACCACGTGAATCGATCGTTTCAGAGGGAGAATCTCGTAGTTGTTCAAGTGCTGCTATTACGTTATTTCAAGTTGACTGGGAATGGCCGTCACTGCAATTTTGCCGCCCTCTGAACTGAGGGCGACAAACGGAAAAAAATCGCAAAATCGCCAAAACGGGCATTTCGCCAGTGGGCCGCAAAATGGGCAAAATGAAAAAAATTCCGAAATTTTGCTTCTTTGAAGTAAAAATTTTTTTGAAAGGCTATTTTGCCGCCGTCCTGACTGTTGCGCCCGGGGAGACCGCCCCACTTGCCCCCCCCTCCCCCCCTAGTTACGCCACTGGGCTTTCCTGATAAGAGTATCAGATTTTCTCACCATCCTTCCACTTTTTATTATGCAATCCATTAATATATATATGGAAAGCATGAAATTACTATATATATGGAAAGCATGAAATTACTATACATATGGAAAGCATGAAATTATTATATATATTCTTATAATATATAACTCAGGGAATCATTAAATGCTGAAGTTAAGCAGCTTTTTATTACAGCAGTGCACGAGATTTGGGAAGAGTAGAATCTTTATCCTAAATGGAAGAGAGATCCTCTGAACATTCGGTCATCTTGGTACTCTTGAGTGCAGATGAGGATGAGTGTATTCGTCCAACTACACTTGAGTACTGAAGTATGGAAAGGAGTGGGAGATACAGTATATCAATTATTTTCGAAGGTGCTGATTGGCTCGTTAAAGACATATGAATGGTAGGGGAAATTTACATAAAAATTACGTAAAATGAACGTAAACATGCCGTTGGGAATGCAAACGGGTATGTCAATTTTAATTAACATTTACGTTAATTTTATATCACCGTTTACGTATCACAGAGGTGACATTTATGCAAACATGTTGACATTATCTTGACAATGGTTTGCATAAAAATGATATAAAATGGACAAAAAATTTACATTCATTTTGCGTAAAATTAACATAAACATGCTGTTTGGGGAGATTCAGTGTTCTCTGCAACCCCGGGGAGATGGAGCTTCAAATTTGCTGGAGCTACTCTGTGATGAGAGAGGAAGAAGTATGCCAAATGTCATGCCTGTTGTTGCTCTCAGAGAGGAATACGAGATGGTTGAATTTTGTCACCGGAAGGGGTTGAAGAAATGTGATGAGCGCTACCGCGCCCATTGATGGTAACTGGTAACTGCACAGACATCCGTGTCGCTGAATCTCGAGAACTGACGAATATTCACTGATCGTATTTCGTGGTGGCATCTCGTGGAGTGGGTTCAACGGGGATCCAAGATTTTCTCCTGGCCGTGCGCTGTTGATTTCATGCGGTGACTCGCCTCGCCTTCAACGCAGAAATGTCGAGAAGCAAAGCGACTGAGGATCATCTACCTGTCTTAATCGGATACACGCCCAGTAATTAAAATATGGCTGCATCGATCGTGACGTGAAACTCCTGCTCAAGGGTAAAGGATGGGCAATGACACTCGGCTATCGTGAGTCATTGCGAAGATTTGCGATCCACGTCACCAGAGAGGAAAGAGAGAAATAATTTCGCTTCTCATCGATGCCGCTCAACGGACCCGGATTTTCCTCTTTTTTTCTCTATCGACAGTCACGTTCCTGCAGCAGAAATACTCGGGAAAAGAGTAGAAGCAATCTCGAGCATAAAACTGGAATAACAGGAGGACTGAAGGATTGGAGGTTTCCAAGCAGGAGTGGAAAGTTCATTCCAATTAAGAACGAAGAAACTAAAATACTTGAACAAGCTTTGTACTTCCAGCATGCTGGCAAGATTTCCTCTGGAGAAAGCGAGGCTCTTCCGATTAGTTACTACCTTTTCCAGAATGAGAAGAACCACATTCTTCGAGGGGATGCAGTTCCTTGAGGATCTGGGTGGACCTGCGGATTTCTTCATCAGCGGATGCTTCTCCAAAGAAATCCTCAGAGTTTTCTCAACGAATTTTTGCCTTCAATTGCTCATTCGAATCCTAATTTTTTCGCTGGTATCTACTTCGAAACTTTTTTTTTTACAGTGGAACTTTCACTCGGTTCAGATGGCATTACGCGCATAAAACATGCAAATTTACACCATATCATTCGAAAGCCCCTTCAATCCTATTAAAATTGGTCTAAATATAAAAAATTTTCCAACTTGATTATGCTCCAGCAAACGTCGACGATTCTCTGCGATTTCTGCAAAAAAAGGAAATGGTTCAGTTTCCTACTGAGATTTCCAGCCTGATAACTCCATTCTGATCGTCTCATCGCAAGTCGCTCTCGCGAAGGTGACCCTCCTGTTCGAGAAACATCATGTCTAGTTCTGGTTCGTCAGATCACGTGACATTCGATCGAGATTGAAAAGGTCGAAAGGACAGATTGAATACCGAAAAAAAAAGTGAAATTTTTTTTACTTGAAAACGCCAGAATCCAACATTTCCCACCCTGAGAATTCCGTTGTCGTCCTCATTTTTATGACGTCATTTCCGGCACATGTCCGGGACATTTATTCGCTTTCCGCCTGCAGTTCAGAACAGAGCTGTGACCATCAAAAACTGGAATTTACCCGCGAAATGATTCTCAGACAAACGCCTGTTCGAGTCGATCGTCAACAAATAAGCCAAGAAAAACGGAAGACCGTCTCACTCTTCCATCCCATTCATTCATTCATACATTGCATTAAGGTGGTAAAAAAAAAATATTTATTATCTTATTACATGCTAATGAACGAATAAGTACCCTCGTATGTCCACCATCACTCTACAAGGATTTTCTTGGAAAACGAACAGTTTCATGCTTTTTGCGATTGCGCAATCAGAATCCGCAGTGCACCAAGTACGGGATCTGCTTTACCTCCAAGTACCGAAATTTATCCGCGGCAATTCTTTTCGAAAGAGGGAAAGCGATTTCTCAGCATTAAGGGGTGGGTTTTAAATTGAAGTTGACATGATTCTGATCAGCCTGAATCTTGATGGAAGGAATTTGGATGAATGGATGAAGTGTTGAAATCAGACTGAAGCATGTGTTTCTTTCCTGGAGATATACGCAGTAAGTACTCGGTACTTGACCCAAAGGTCCTATCACCAATACGAATTTCTGGACGAACAACGTTTCCGAGCCCGAACCCCCGCGGCGTCTCGTCGCAACCGAATTTCGAAAAGGTGAGTACTGTATATCGAGAAACATCGTGTCGAGTACTGAAAGGTGATTATCGGATTCGGATGAGACTCCAATCGACTCTAACCTGTTTTTGTACGATATTGAACTAATATGAGCACGCTGACTTATGCCATGAATCTATTTTAATTTTCCCGTAAAAAAAAAGCAAACCATGTCATGCTAATTGCGCTTTGCGCGAGGGGCACTGAATACGGGTTCTCCCTAGTCTGGAATTGCAGAAATATATATGAAGCAATTCTTCTAGAAGGAGAAGAAGGGATTTCTCAGCATCAGGGGGCAATGGTCAAGTTGAAGCTGGCATCATTTTGGTTGACCTGAATCTTCATGGAAAGCATTTAGTGGAATGGATACAATTTTTATTCCCGTCTTTAGCAAACAATTTTGAACGAACACGAGTGAGTTTGGAAAGATTTGCATCCTGGAAATTTTGGAAATAAATTTTGAAATCAGACTGGATATTGTGTTCTTTTCTGAAGAAGTACTCAGTAAGAAATCAGTACTTGACACCGCGGTACTATCTCAAATACGACTTGATACGATTTTGGGAAAAAGCAGTCTGTATGGACATTCACACTTCCCATAACAAATCTTTAAGGAGTGCATGGAATTTCTGAATCAGCCACTTTCGTCACGAATTGAAAGGTAGGATGAAAGGTGCTTGAAAGAGGTAGGATGCACCGAAGATTCCACCTCGTTTTCACTTGGCATGGTGAAATCTTCTACCGCGAGATCTCGCTTAAGTCAAGATCAGGCACTTGTGAGATCATCTAAGTGCGGAAAATGGTATAACATGATGCGACGTGAACGAACTGTGGATCGCCAAAAACGCAGTTGTACAGTCGCGAATGAATTCTGAATAGGCTGCTGGAGATGATCGAGATGGCCGGGAATAGACTGCTGGAGATGATCAGCCGTTGTACCCGGATGGCGCTGGATGGATGTCATCCGAGAGGAAGCAGCGAGCCGTGGGGGCGACATTCCCCGGTGCTGTAGACTAGGAGGGGTGGCGTGGAGTCGGCATCGGCATCTTTGGCAACGGTAGACGGTGCTTAAGAATCGATGGGAAGGCTAAAAGGTGCTTATTCCGCCGTCTTACCCTGAGGCTAACACGATTTCCGGCAGTGTTTGCTTTTGCGATGGCCGTCGACCTCTTCAATCTCATTCGACGATTTTGGGATTGAATGAGAGAATTTAGCGGCGGTCGGCTGCACGCTGCAAATTTCACAGCGAAAATCAACAAATGTATCAAATGAACTAAAAATAGGGTTGCCCTTATTACGTCTGCCGTGATTCATCCGTAACTCTCCTGAAATACAAGCTGTGTCATGCTTAATACGTTGTTTTACGATTTGAACATCCTCATTGCACCCAGTACGCGGCAATAGCACTTCTACCGCTAAGTACGAAACGATTCTTTGCCCTTTTTTTTATAGGGATTTCTCAGCATCGGGGGAGGGGGGGAAAGCTGGGATGAAGTCGCAGTGATTTTTTCCAAGTCATTATTATTTGGATTTTCTTTTCTTTTCCTCTCCAAGAAACCCATTCAGGAAAGTCATTTGCATTTTTCTACTTGTGAGAATTCCGTCGCGGNGGGGGGGGGGGGGGGGGGGGGGGGGGGGGGGGCAAGGGAACAGCAGACAAGAGATCCAGCGGCCGACAATTCACGAAGAAACAAAAGCCCAAATAATCCAAATGCCGGAATTCGGTCCTGGGACTTCAGCCTCTTCCCGCTAATAATCTCCGATCGTGAAGTTCTCAGAATCGGTGACCTTCATCTACCCCAGGATGCTCGGTTACAAGGTCACTGGAACGAGTAAAGGTCACTGGGACGTACTGTCCAAGCGGCATAATTCCTCGCGCATTCGAGAACCATTTCAGTCCACCGTTGCATCGATGCCGGCCGTCGGGATTTTCCGCGACGGAATTCTCACAAGTAGAAAAATGCAAATGACTTTCCTGAATTTAGTTTTGCCCGGTCACCACTCGGCAGTCATCATTTCACATCGACAAGACCACTGATCCAATATTTGCAATCGAAAAATGTCCTTGATGAAGTTATTGGTGCTTCTCAACTTATAAAAAAAAAACTATATACATATATTCCTATTCCGAAAAAGCATAGCAATTTGGACTCGATGCGAAGGAGACATCCAAAAATCTATAATTGGATCTTCTGATGACCTTTTCTCGCATTTTCAGCCTCCTCCGTCCTCACACCCATCATTAATGACGTCTTCAAGTTTAATTGTTTTTTGGAAAAACGAATTCTTCCCTCGGATGACCATACTGGGAAACCGCATCACTCAAGACATTATAATTGAAAATATGTACCTCTGCATATTTGCAATGTAATGCAAATATCTGTAATTTTTTTGCAGAGGAGGTCGCAGTTTTTTTATTCTTTGCCCTTTGTCCTCATCTTAGCAGAGCCATTTCTGCCGAGAGTCTGAAATAAATAAATCATCATTACTTCCATATGAAAGACCGGCAGATTACCACGAATAAGCATGAGTTCTTCAGCGATCTCACCAATCAAAAACATGCAAAATAATATAAATAAATAAATAAATACGTATGATGATTATTTCTTGATTGCACTCCACGTGATGGATTCGTCTTTGCATCGTGTTTCGCTCCGTCGATTACCCCTACCTGTCCCTGGGAATGCGGACTCAAAGCGGATCCGGAAAAGACGACGAAGGGCAGAACACAATGATGAGGCTCAGCATGAAGTATGCAGCGAACGCGTAACCGGAAACTGCGCAGACCTCAGTGCAAATGAATCTCGAGAACCGACGAGGATTCGCTGATTGTGTTTGAGTGGTGGCATCTCGAAGTGTGGTGTTAATGAGAATCAAAATTTTTATCCTGGACGTGTGCAGTTGTTTTCTTGCTGTGACTAGCTTCACTTTCAGTGCGGTCATGTCGAGGCAAAAAATGAGGGGGTACCAGCTCGCCAGTTTAATCGGATAGAAACGCATTAATCTGCATGAATGCCTTAGTCCTGACGTGAAGATCAAGCTCAATGGTAAATGCTTGGAAATGCCATTCGGCTGTCGTGAGCCACTGGCAGGATTTCCGATCCAAAGCGAAGGCGAAGGAGAAGCGAAGGCGATGCAAATATCCCTGTTCATAGATGCAGCTCGACGGGACAGGATCTCCCCTTTTTTCCCATCGGCACTGTCACCGTCCAACAACAAAAATCCCA